TTCCAATCCGGTTGGTAATCAACTAATCATCTCCTTGTTGTAGCGACCGCGGCTTCAAAGGGCCCATTAATAATGAATTTGGGCAGTAAATCGCCTTTTATACGACGAAGGGATTTAGCAAATTCGCCGCGCGGCCACGTGTGCGCCATTAGCCTAATGGCGGACCCTGGAATCTTTCTCATATACAACTGAGACTTGCTACGTAACGAATTAATGCTCGCTACCGCGCTTTGGTAGACATTTTCAAATTGTAATTTTGAAATCAAATGTAATTACTACTCCTTCTGAAATATGTTACAGAGAATACTGCTCAGAAGTTTGGATTGTGTTTATAATTAGTTTATTTTTTAAACGAAATGCCTTAGTTTGCTTTCAAGACTTAAAATGAAATAAAAATCAACATTAAAAGATTAGTTACTTAACATTTTTTTAAATTGTGATGGCGATGGACAGAAATGGCCGCTACGGGTCTACGAATTAGACAGTCCTAAATCCTTTTCCCTCAAAGCATGTTAAAAAAGGGGGCATTGTATAAATCGCACCAAGGCCCTTGTTTTTTTTTTTAAAGAGAAGGGGGTAAAGCGGCGAGAAGACAGAGGTGGTCAACGAAGCTCATGGACATCCGCAACACCAGAGGAACTATAGATGGGTTGCCGGCCTTTGAGGTAATTGTAGGTTCGCTATTTAAATGACCCTAAGTCGTACTGGTGTGACGCTATATCGTTATTGTATGTCATCGTTACATTTCTTAGGGCGCCTTGACGTTGTAGTCGTTAGTGTTTACGTAAGATAAATTCATTTACTTCCCTACAGATAACGTATTAGATTAAAGTACGTATAGACATGGAAGAGATTTGTGCAGGAATTTTCTCGATTTTAAAGTTTAATGTATTAGTAAAATGTTAATACCTGAAGCGACATCGGAACGGTTACTTGCAAAACTCACCATGCGATATTTGGGGAAAATTACAAAGTCACGTTGTAATTTACTGTTTAAACAAGAATAAATACGGATTTAGGTTTAAAATTTGTTAAATTATAAAACCGTGCAGTATTTGGACAGTGAAAATTAATTCAAGGGATATAAATATGAATAGACTAGCTATTGCTCGCGACTGTCCGCGTGAAAATAATAAAAAAAATATAGTCTATATTACTCACAGATAAATTACGTTTCTATTTATAAAAATCGACAAAGTAGTTTTTAAGTTATTTAATTACATACAAAAATACAAATCCTTCTTCTTTATTATATTAGTATAAACGTTCACTTCGGTGTAATTGCGGCCTCATCAAGTCTTCTTATTATACAAGTCAAGATTTACTGCGTCGTTGGTTGGCTGAGTGTGAGAAGCGGATGTAGGATGTTGCCAAGGACGTGCGATTGTGCTCTTGTTTTGTGACAACATGTGCTACTTGCCACTCGACGCTCTACTCTGCGTCTTTTTAATCGCTACGGTGTGACATAGGTCATTTAATGAAGATGTAACTTATTTTACGTTCTAAAGAGTATTTAAAAAACTGAACATCATTATATAACTATTAAAGAATTTACTAAAGTGGTAAAAGATTACACAAACAATCTTTTGTTAGCAAACTTTTGGTTAACATTTGCGCAAAATACTGGTAAAAATAAATCGTTGGAGGCAATAGTAGCGCGTGTCGTAGTTAATTCGTTTAGGGGCGACGTCTAGTGGCCGAATGCGGACAAATTAGATTTCCATCGGTGATGATGGATCGGAGGTAGGCCCCACTTCAAATCACGCATTGCTTGTTAAACTGAACTGCTATAGTATTTGAAATAAATATTATCAGTTATTATAAATCATTGCGCTCTTCATGTTTGGTCTTCCTAATTTTCTCTTTCTGTATTATCTTTAATCTAAAAATTTTGGAATTATGTAATTACCAAGGTTTTTCCTCCTAGAAAATCCTCCCTTTAAAAAATCTCTGCTTTCGGTAGACCTCCAGAATTACACAGAGTCTTTCGTATCAAAGTCTATCACAATCCTCCAATATTACTATTAAGATTATCGATATTAGATATATCGTTAACGAACCTTTATACGCAAAACACGAAGCTTCAAACTTCACCAATACCTACGGTTGTTAATACCTGATACACCGTAGATTGCCGTAGATAATATGTGGGATATAATAAAACAAACGATAGTACGATGATACTGTTTCGATAAGATGTGACATAACTAATACTGCCACTAAATTGTACAGCTACGAAATTGTTCATAACATTCGTGCAATAAAATGCACACTTGACTTTGTAATGATATTGTTATCGTGACCAGAAGGTTTACCGGTTACCTTTTAAAGCTAAAGATAATTAAAAAAAAAAAAACATAAATTCATTCATCGAATGATTGTTTTCTATTAGACGTTTTACAACTTTTAAATTAAGGTGCATAGTTAGGAGTCTTTGAGAAGCTAAATATTCTTTTTGTACATTTTCTTCCTCATTGTATAGCCTTTAATAAGCTTAAGAAAGTTTAGACTGGGCACAAATATAGAGTACGTTAATTTATCGACAATTCTAGCTGCAGACAATGTCCACAAAAGCTTCTTTACTATATCAAAAACAAAACAAAATCACAATGATACAGATTACGGAGGGCAATTAATATTATAGAAAGAGAACGGGCGTAATCCAAGTCCAATAATTTGCCGGGACGCAGCCGAGACATCTGATCCCGAAAGTAATCCGATTTAGCTGATCGAGGAGCGGCTCTTATTGAATTTGCTATTATTTCTCTGCACTATATTTATCGACATTGATTTTTAATAGTGCATAGAAAACTACATCTAGTTTCTTTAAAGGAAATAAGTTTAACATTTGCATTCTAATGTTAAATTAGTTCTTGGCTTGTTAATTAGTGCTAGGATGGTTTATTTATTGTCCCATCCGATTGTTTGTTTCTTACTAGCTATCGCCCGCGACTCCGTCCGCGTGGGATTAGAAAAAGAAAAGTAAGTAACCTATGTGTTTTTTCAGCCTATGTGCTACATCTAAAATGTCATCGAGATCCGTTCAGCTGTTTAGGCTACAAATTCTAACAAACATCCATCACTCCATTCAAACTTTCGCATTTATAACATTAGTAAGAAGTAAGATATTATTGTAAATGGTTTTATAATTTTAAAGTTTCTTCTATTAACCAATGAATTATTTATTTTTTTTTCAACTTTTGTATTCTAAACAATGTGTTAATAAATTGAAGCTAAATTGGATTTATTCCACTTCTTTAATCTACCAGTAAAACGGTGTAAAACAACAATCGGTAGGTCGAGTGCCCTCAAAGGGCGTTGCGGTGGTCGCGTGCAAACTTAAAGGGTCCGCGACAACCCAAAAGGGCCAAGACCGATAAAGGGCCTCAGGGTGTCGGGAGAGAGCGAGGGGCCAGGGACCGGCAACGGCAAAGATCGCGGCGGATTAGTGTTACGATGTTATTGTCTCGACCTGTCATTCAGTGGGGTTTGCCCTTTTTTATATTGCTGTAATAATTGGACTTCCTTATTTCAAGTCTTTTGTTGTTCAAATGCGGAATTTTTGATTGTGAGGATTTTTTTCAAATTAACTACTCAATGTTCGAAATTTTATTTGTTGATTATGGCGTTTTTTTATATTTAAATAAGAGTGTAATATTTATTAAATAAAAAATTTAACTTTTTTTAAGTTAAGTTGTGATTAGGTAGGTACTATTTTCTCGCTAACTTTTAGTTTTGGTGTTGCTTTTATATTTTTAAATCATAAATTGATGAATATCAAATTCTAAATTTGAATTCAAAGTAACCAAAAGTGGCCAGAACTAAGCGATCATTTGGAATTACAAATGCAGTTCATACAAGGCTTCCAGTATTCACAATTGTACCGTCTGCAGAGGAAATTGTAAATTAATATTTCGCTTCTATCGATACTTACCTTTGTCGATTCTCTGCAACGTAAGGTAAGCCTTTGATCAATCAGAACTCACTTCGGAATTTCACTTCCTCCTTCAATTTTAGTGAATGCTCTTTTGTCCCTATTACGTATCATATGCTTCTATTGCTATGAGTTTAGTAACTGCAGCTTAAATAACAGCGTAAAATTCATATTGTACAGATATTATCATTTAATAATAATAAGTAGTTTCGTTCGCACTATTAGGGAATTTTAGAATGGCCAAATGGTTAGTTAATCAAACGTTTAATCCATAATTAAACGTCTAATTTTTTGTTGTAAATTTTCTCTTTTAAAGGGGCTTCTGTGGCGACCGAATCGCGTAAAATTTGTAAAATTCGTAGTTAAAACATCGTCTCATATTATGAAATAAATTGAAAAAACAAGTAAAAGTTGCTCAAAGCATCTTTAACTGTAATATATCTAAAAATTTTACAAAATTTTCTACTATGATGAATTACTATGAAAGTAATAATACATTTTGTGTTGAAGAGCTATTTAAAAAAAATCGAAATAAGGAAACGGTAAAACCAAATAAATTATGGGAAAAGTCGCATATATTTAAAAGGGTCAAAAAGTTATTAGAAGTTCGTAGAACATTTTTAACTCTTAATAATTACTCTCATATTTAGTATTTAGTAAGAGTTTCAAGAATTTTTATTTACATTACTTTACATTTTATCTCATTTAAAGATTTTTTTACTGTACTTAATAACTTTTTATATAAAAATAATCAATGATATGAGATTCTAATCAGAATTATTTAAAGGGTTTCCCTTTAAATAATTCTGATTTCTACCGGGATACAAATTGGTCCCTGTTCATTGGTGTTCCAATATGTTATAGAAAACAATAACAAACTTTAGCGGCAACAAAAACTCTATTTAGTTTACTCATAGAATTTATCGACACAATTTTCTTAATAGAATTTAAACTACTGAAGAAAATGTTAAAAAAAAGGTTTGTTATCTGTATTTTCAGACAAGTTCTTATGTTTTGTTTATAAAGAAATTCTTAGCTTAAGTGAGTGAAAACTTAATCAACTTACCTTTCGGCGTAACAACTCTGAAAGCGCTATTTGACACCGGCCTTGGTGATTCTTCTCTCATACCTCCCCCCGGTGAACTGTCATTCCGTACCATCGAGAAGTCCAGTGGCATCGGTGGCATCGCACTAACTTCCATTGTCAATATTTACGTTTAAAAAAACAAAAATTAAAAAGTCATCTGTCACTTAAATGTTCGGATATCTTCTCTAGCATAGACGTAAAGTATCAGTTAATGGAACGTTCGGATACGTTCTGTCGGGGTCGCATTGCGTGCGGCCGACGCGGATCGCGGGTATATATTAAGGCGAATATCACACTCAGTTGGCGTTCATTCGGCTTTCTGGTCGCTAAAGCTGAATATCTCGGGTCTGGGTATAGTGATTTGGACCTTATCGGTGCGTTGTATGGGCGTGGTGTGCGACGCCCCGCCCTATCCGTCCCCCGCCGACAAGTGACAATCACTTTGTATAGGTAACAGAATAATACGATTCTTGATAGATTTTATTGTTCCGCCGATGCATTTGTTCGAGACCAATTCCAGTAGAAATGTTGTATTGGGCATTTCTTGTTGGGTGTGCCGATGTTAGATTGTATTGCTATTTGTAATAAATGTGGGTGTGGGATTAAAACGTAATAAATGGTTCTATTGTTTTTTTTTTATAAAATGAAATATTTTATAAAGTTGTCATTATTTTTAAATACTAGAATAACTACTTTGGGTTAAGGTTAAATTAAAAAAAAAAACATTAAAACAGACACATGTTTTTTTATATCAAATAATAGCAGCTAATAAAAAAAATCCTTCAACGTAATTTCTTCTTTTATTAAAATTAAAAAATGTGTAGGTCATACTTATGTTATGTTTCAAACAGATTCTTATGATTTTGTTAAAAAACATTTTAGTAATTGAAAAATATATACAATTTTTCATTATTATCAGACATTTTAATTCAATATTAATTGACACATAAATACATATGAGACAAAAAGTAAATTATCATAAAATTTCAATTTAGCAAAAGATCTTTCATAGGACACAAGAAGTGTAGGAAATTTTGCTGCAAAATAACATGCAAAATAAATAATTACCGTTGAACTTTAATAATCCCTAATTTTAATTTATTACATTCCAAGTCTTCTAGTTCTCCTTTTTTTTAAATCAATTTTCTTATCATATAATAGCTGTTGCTCGCGCTAACCTGAAATTAAAAAATGTAGCCCATGTTTCTCATTGATAACGTAGCTTTTTAAGGTGAAAGAATTTTAGAAATCAGCCGAGTAGTTTTTGAGTTATTTCAATACATACAAAAATACAAATCTATCCTCTTTTTAATATCAGTATATGATTATGAACAAGTTACCTAAGCAACGTTAAAATATTTTGTCATCATTTACATAGTAAGTTTATTAGCAAGAAAAAACGAACAATTACTTGTTATTGTACAAAATAACGCCATTGCTCTGTTTATTTCATGAGGTCAATTCGAATGAAATTCGATGAGATTATGCGTTGGGATTACGTCCGAGGAATTAATGGTAACCCCCCGCGCACCGCACGAACCTCCTCCCCCCGCTTCCGGCAGCGGGCGTCACGTACCGACATTTAAAACAATGAACGCCTCAATTTTTCACCGGCGGCCCCCGAAATATGGCGCGCTAATCCGACCTGCACTCTTATTCTGATACTGTGATGTGTTTGCAAAAGCGATACAATCACGATGTACAAAAATAGTGCTGAAAAATTTAACGCACTATTTATTCGTATTAGTATTTGTAGAGATAAACATGGCGCAGGTAATGTCTAATGTTCTGTTTTTGTGTTTTGAAAAGCATGTTCCTCTTATTTTAGTAGTTATCGGTTCTTGGGTCAACTCGGGTAACATGGCCAAGAGAAGCCACGTTTGAAGAGGCCACACATCTCATAGGCAAAGCTTCCAAGGATATTTGATATTTTCTGAAAAAGTTTTAGATTCTAATTCAAATTAATTAAACCTTTAAAAACATAACATAATATCACGTTATTTGGCAACAAATTACTATTAGTTTTATTACAAAAGAAAATAGATACGGATAATTTTTTCCGACTTTGAAATGTCGAATGTGTCGCCTACTCAGAATAAGGAGGTCGGCTTGCTTTGCGAAAACTAATTACACCTCCGCTTCGCAATGATAAAGCAAAGCCGTCGTATAGGATATTTTTATTCGGGACAAAATGAAATTCCCTTACAATAACATTTCATTGCACTTTCAACTTTAAAGTCCACTGTACAAAGCACATTATTGCACATCGGATATCATTTTCGGTCGAAATTATGGAATTTTTTTAGTATGTACTCAGCATAAAATAATCCTAGCATAATCTCGCTCGCAAATCCCATTATTTTGATCATAGCCTCAATTGTAGCGGCCCCTGGCGGCGGAGAGGTGAAGCTCGGCCGCTTCGTATGGAAATACTGTTCGTAATTTTTCGATTTGGACGTCTGATTTTTAGGGGATTTTCAACAGTAAAATATTTATACGATCCGCTTTGATTAAGGTATAAAATTTTGGATTGTACGTGATTTTATTTCATATTCTATATCCTGGAATATCACCTACGAACTAAATGTAATATTACTTGCTTATAGAAAGTACTTTTAGTAAATTTAAACAGGGATTTTTAGGGAATAGTAAAACGACACATCTGCGTAGGTTTAGACTTTAAATTCTACGAAACTTGAATAGAAAACAGTTATTTAGAAACCGCAACTCGTAAAATAAGAAAGATATGTACTTAAAATTAACAATTTGTTATACGGCAACAATTTTACCTACTAACTATAAGTCCGTGAAATCCTTCATTCATTTTAACACCCTTTAAAATGTTGTGATCAAAGGTCATTTGCGTGCAAACGGCCGACTGAATGTGAAAAGCTCCGAGTAATTTCGTTCGTGGAAATAAACACAAATAGCTTATTAAACCAATGGTTCCGTATATCGAGGTTAATGTTTAACTACATAACAGACACGGTGTTAAACGTATAGAATTGTGCATACTTTATTATAACTAGTATTTTAAATAATAATAAAACAAATGAAAAAAAAATTCCAAACTACATCATCTACTTGCCCTTATCCCCTACGGAGGGTCTGCACAGTATGTGTTGCTCTTCCATACATCTCTATCTGCATCCACTCCTTTCTTAAGCATATCCTCTTTCACACAATCCATCTTCGGTCTTCATCTACCTTTGTAGCCATACACATTTAATCTTAACAGTTTCTGGTATACGTCCCCATCGTTTCGTCGCGTAACATGTCTATATCACGCTAACTTATTGCTTCGCTAACTATTTCCAAACTTACAATTAATGAAAACATTTTTTCCGAGTGTATTCAAAGATTTTCTAAAATTTACTTCACCTGTCCGACACAGAAGTCCAACAGTGTCGAATACTGAAGTCCGTGTTTAGATAGAGAAACAACCGGAGGTGGGAACCTGCGCTAGTATTTCGCACACCACGTTAATTATACCGACTTAATTAATACAAAACATTAAACTTTGGGCCACGCAGCCAGAGAATAAATAAAAAAGTTAAATGTCGAACAGTTTTTAATATGTACAGTTATTTTAATATCTAGTAGCTACTTGCTAAAAGTAGAAAGTAGATTAATTGCTAATAACTTTAATATATCCAAACGCTTCTGAAAATTCACTTATTTTAACTTTACTGCACCTCTTGTATGTGTAAACTTGACTTAACTTTCAAATTTAAGTTTGTTTAATTATCTGTAATATTTAACATTTACGAGGCTAGTTTTATTTTAAAAATCAAAAGCTTATCAACAGTCGCTAGTTTCGTGGCCCAACGGTTATTCTAAAAGCTTAACAACAAGCAGGTAGTTCGCTATCAAAAATCATTTGGCGCTCGCCCCCGGCCCCGGAGCCGCTTCACGAAATTACTCCGCGCTTAATATTTACTTTTAATTCAAAATTTTATTTCAAACGCCTCATGCCCGTTTCTGCGAGCGTTTCTCGTTATTTGTTGAATTTATTTAACTCTATCGTTTCCTTCCTTTGTATTATTTTAACACGTTGATACTGAAATAAAGGTGCCTTTATCGAGGGCTTTAAAATGTAACATTTTTATGCTCTAATTGTTTTTAAAAATATTGCGATTTTTTGTAGAAAAAATATTTTCTATCTGATCAATTATTATAAGTTCGTTTTGTTTTGACCAAAAAAAAGTAATTATTATGCAAAAACAAATTGACTCTTAACATAGTACATCATTTTATTAGTGATTCTTTATAAATCCTATTAAATAGTTAGTACAGACTAATTAAAAGAATGAGTTTAATTAATTCGCGTCTAAAGGTTCTGTTGGCAACCCTTGCGGTGTTTACCGAGGCGAATTAGAGTTAAAATAAATACGGGCCCCGAAACAATTTGCATCTAGATGTGACATTAGACCGTCCGGTTATCTTTTTGCCAATGTAACGATGCTGACCGACGGTCAAATTACAGACAATCGCGTTTGTACCGAGCGAAAAAGTGCCCCTCATTGTTTTAACTGTCCTATGTACGGGCGAGTTTAATTTGGCTTTGTGTTTTATGCGGGTAGCGAAGGCCAATTTAATTTCTTCGCTAATTATGATTATTTTTAGTATTACGGATTATATTTTAATGTTATTCTTGACGCTATCAACTGTCATTTTGAAATTTAAGGCCTTTTTGCATATCAGAATAATAAATTACGCTTTTTACATGTGTTACCATCTGAAAGTCTAAACTTGCCTATATTTTTTTTACTTCTTTTTCTTCTTCTGCCCATAAACATCCGCAATTGCAGATGCGTTGCCTATCCTTAATTGACGGAGGAGGAGACGCACATAAATAGGACATTCCCCTTCCTACGCGTCTCCCCCACCGTCAAATCCACTTTTCCTTCGCATCCTTTCCTCTTAAGAATAGGTTGGAAAGGGAAAGGGACTAATATGCGGCCTTCGGCACCACACTTATCAGACGAAACGCGGAACTACTTCGACTTCACGCGAAGATGTTAAAGCGGGCTCTACCACTGTAAAATGTCTAAGCATTGCCTAAAATCAGCATCTTGGTATTACCATCCGATAGTAAACTACCAAAAAAAAAATGTTTCAAGTAACATATTAATTAATTGTATTTGTAATTTACATTTCCATAATTATTGCCACATTTTAATGTAAGTTGGTACAACAATGTGTATCTTTTAATATCTTAGAAATGTATAATTGAAATCTAGATAGGCTAGTACGGCCACTTGGTGGGGGTCGATGACCTCTCCATGA